CCTATTACCTGCTGCTGATTCAGGATCAGATCTTCTCTTTTCTGATGATGAGGAGTCAGAGAATGACTAGACTCCTACAGTTTTACATTTTTCACTTTATATGGTTTTATTTTGGATTACATTGTTTACATTTTGTTATTTTGGTTATTTTGTACATTGGTTAAGTACATTGAGATTCACTGTTTTGCTTGATACACATTTTGATAGTACTGATGCTATTGAATTATATATGAATGTGTTTCAGTGATCCACTGCTGTTTTAGATTTAAATTAGTTGCTGGGGACAGCAACGTTTAAATATGGGAATTGGGGTTTGATTGAATGGCATGTGAACTTCATGGAGATGTCACACGAGTGGATGAGCCAAAACAGGGAAACATCTCAATCTCTTTTCCTTTATTTTTTCTTTGTGAATAAGTTTTTAGTATAATTTAGATTTTAGTTGTAATTCAGAATTTGGAATTCAGTTTTTTATATGAAATTATATGAGGATTTGACTGATCAGAATTTTAGATGATTGATCAAATTAAGGATACAATCTTATGCCTTGCATGTTGAGAAATGAAATGATTGCATGACTCATTCAATGTGTAAGAGTATAGAGATTAGTTTTGATGCATAGAGAGAAAGTCAAGCATGCACTCTGAACTGTGAGGAAATTGAGCATATACAGAAAATTTTGTTCAGAGAGCATTTCACTGCATGAGTAACTCTAGAACTTGCCTTGTTTCTTGCATGGAATAGTTGATGATGTATAGGGTAGAAATGATTGAGGCATTCCCTTCTTGAACCAGAAAGTCAAATGACCAACCTTTAAGTTCCTATTGCATGAAAACTTTGAGCCTAGCCTGTTGTCTATACAACCAAGGACCACAGTTATTCCAATCCTTCAGATTAAAAGTTTCAGATAAGTGATAAGGGATGGAGTGTTCTGTGGGGAGGAAAATGTTTTTGCAATAAGTGAATGCACAAGGTGTTGGAAATAAAGGAAAGAAAGAATGAAAAGAAAGAAAAGGGTATGAAACACAAAGTGTTTGGAATAGACAGAGGGAAGTATTAAAGACACAAAGTGTCTGAAGGAAAAAGAAAAAAAAATTGTTAAAGACACAAAGTGTCAGGAAAAAAAGGAGGAAGAAAGGTTCAAAGAAAAGAACAAGGAATGAAAAGGAAGAAAGTTGGGGGAATTAGGAAGAAATTGATGAATACTGTGAATTCCCTCTTATCTGAATCTGATTCATTTGATCTGAACTTCCCCTTTTACAGAAATTCTTACCTCTAGTCAAGCCACATACCAAGCCTCACTGCCAATCATACCAAGCCCTTTCTGATTTACCTTATAAATTGTTGTTACTGTGAACAATGAGAAGATAGGCAAGCATATGGCAGTTTGAGTACAGTGAAGAGTGAGTGATAAGTACATCCTTAAACACTAGTGTGCAAGAGAGTTAAATTCTCACAATTTTTGAGAAGTTCCTAGTGAGGGGGTGTTTTTGTTTGAAAAGTCTTTGTATATCATCTTTACTGATCTGTTGAAAAGCCACATATGATGTTGGGCAAGTCATAAGAAATAAGAGATTGCATGGTTGTAAGTTGTATCAATATGATCTGTTGTTAATTGAAGTCCATCTTCATGAGTTTCATTTGTAAAGAATCTTGAATCTTTCTCTGTTGTAATATCATCACTGAGGACAGCAATGTCCAAATCTGGGAATTGTGATAAACCCCTAGTTCATCAGGTTTTTCAGCATGAATTAATATCAATTTGTGTGATTAATTGCATGAAAAAGAGGTTAATTTCCTGGAATTCCCTCAAGTACAAGTTCTGAAAGATTTGTTGAAAAATTACACTGTCTTGTAGCGAAATGAAGCTTAAGGAGCAACAGAAAGAAAGAAGAAGATTCTGGAGAAAGGGAGCAATGCCTAAGTGTTGAGCGCTAAAACGTCAACATAGAACATTTTAGAGCGCTGCTGCAAACGAAGGAAAAAAGTTGTTGGTGCTGAGCGCTAAAACGTTCACACAGAATGTTTTAGCGCGCTGCTGCAATCTGAGGACAAAAGTTGCCGATCTTGGGCGCTAAAACTTCCTGATCAAACGTTTTAGCGCCCTGCTGTTGGAAAAAGACTCTGGTCTCGAACGGTAAAACGTCCAAACCAAGTGTTTTAGCGTTGGAGTCAGTTGGAAGCAGTTGAGCATTCACCAGACATGGACGTTAAAACGTTCAACAGTTCACGTTTTAGCGCCCAAGTTAGTTAAAAGCAGTTGGGCATCCGTCAAACATGGACGCTAAAACGCCCATTTATGAACGCTTTAGCGCCCATGTTAGTTTTCAGTTATAATTTATAAAACTATAAAAAGCAAAAAGGCCTTCACATTTGACATATCCTATCATACAGATCTCTGGCACTAGGAGAAACAATTTCAACCTGGAGTTGAATAGCAGAACTTGATTTCCCACCTTGAAATCCCTGGGTGTGATCTTCCTGTCATGCCATAGCTTGGTCTTCTCTTTGTATAAGCTTGCACTTTCATATGCAAAAAGACAAAATTCATCCAGTTCATCCAATTGCAATAGCCTTTTCTCACCTGCTGCTTTTGAATCAAAGTTTAAAAACTTAACAGCCCACAATGCTCTATGCTCCAATCCCACGGAAAAATGACATGTTTTCCCAAACAACAACTGAAATGGATACATTCCAATAGGAGTCTTAATTGCTGTCCGCTATGCCCACAAAGTGTCATCAAGTTTCTTGGACCATTGAGTCCTAGCATTTCCAACAATCTTCTCCAGTATTCGCTTAAGTTCTCTGTTAGAAATTTGAACCTGACCACAAGTTTGTGGATGGTACAGGGTACTTATCTTATGCCTGACTCCATATTTTGTAAGGACAGCCTCTACCAACCTGTTGTCAAAATGAGTTCCCCCATCACTGATTATGGCTCTTGGGACTCCAAATCTCACAAATATGTTCTTTTTCAGAAATGCAATAACAACCCGAGAGTCATTTGTTTGTGTGGCTATGGCTTCAACCCATTTTGACACATAATCAATTGCCACCAAGATATACTTGTTTGAGTAGGAAGAGGGAAAAGGTCCCCATGAAATCCATACCCCAAACATCAAAAATTTCCACCTCCAGTATATTGTTCAAAGGCATTTCATGTCTCCTGGAGATGATACCAGTCCTCTGGCAATTGTCACATGCTTCCACATACTTTCGAGCATCCTTGTACAATGTGGGCCAATAGAAACCACTCATCAAGATTTTTGCTGTTGTTCTTTCACCTGCAAAGTGTCCACCATAAGCTGAACCATGACAGTGCCATAAGACATTTTTTTGTTCCTCCTCTGGTATACAACGTCATCTGAACACCTGTAGAAGAGGTATGGGTCATCCCAGATGTATCTTCTCATATCATGCAGAAATTTCTTCCTCTGTTACCAGGTGAAATCCTTAGGCATGGCTCCAGCAGCTTTGTAATTGGCAAAATCAGCAAACCACGGTGGAGTATTAATTGTCAAGACCTGATCCTGCACCAACTTTGTGCTTATGGCCAGTATTTGCTCATCAGGAAACTCTTCCTTAATCACCACTTCCGGTCCCTCTTGTAAATTTGTCTCTGTGATCCTGGATAAGTGATCAGCCACCAAGTTTTCAACTCCTTTTTTGTCTTTGATTTCCACTTCAAACTCTTACAGAAGTAACATCCATCGGAGTAACCTGGGCGTAGCATCCTGCTTTGTTAACAAATACTTTAAAGCTGCATGGTCAGTGTAAACAATAACCTTTGACCCTAGCAGATATGTCCTGAATTTGTCAAATGCATACACAATTGCCAATAACTCTTTTTCTGTAGTAGCATAATTCTTTTGTGCCTCATTAAGAATTTTACTGGCATAGTAAATGACATGCAATAATTTGTCTTTTCTTTGACCTAGCACTACTCCCACAGCATAATAACTTGCATCACACATCAACTCAAAAGGCAATGAAAAATTAGGTGCCATGATTATTGGTGCAGTGATCAACTTTTCTTTCAAAATATTAAATGCATGCAGGCAGTCATCAGTAAACACAAACTCTTGATCCTTTCCTAACAATTTGCATAAAGGTTTTGCAATCTTGGAAAAATCTTTTATAAAACGTCTATAAAATCCTGCATGACCTAGAAAACTTCTCACACCTTTAACATTTATGGGAGGGGGTAGTTTCTTAATAACAGAGATCTTGGCTTTATCCACTTCAATCCCTCTATTGGACACCTTGTGTCCCAAAACAATACCCTCGGTCACCATGAAGTGACATTTCTCCCAGTTCAAAACAAGATTACAATCTTGGCATCTTTTTAAAACATTATCCAAGTTTTCTAGACATGCATCAAAAGTAGGACCAAATACTGAAAAATCACCCATAAAAATTTCAATGCATCTTTCTACCATGTCTGAGAATATGGAAAGCATGCACCTTTGAAAAGTTGTTGGTGCATTACATAAGCCGAAAGGCATCCTCCGGTATGCAAAGATTCCATATGGGAAAGTAAATGGAGTTTTCTTCTGATCTTCTGGAGCCACAGCTATCTGATTGTAGCCTGAGTATCCGTCTAAGAAGCAGTAGAAGGCATGCCCTACCAATCTCTCCAGCATTTGGTCCAGGAATGGAATAGGAAAATGGTCCTTCCGGGTTGCTTTGTTGAGTCTTCGGTAATCAATGCACATCCTCCAGCCAGTGACTGTTCTTGTAGGGATCAGTTCATTATTCTCATTCTTCACCACAGTCATTCCTCCTTTCTTAGGCACCGTCTGAACTGGACTCACCCAAGCACTGTCTGAGATAGGGTAGATCATTCCAGCATCCAGCAACTTCACCACCTCCTTCCTCACTACTTTCTTCATAGTAGGATTGAGTCTTCTCTGTGGTTACCTCACTGGTTTAACCTCCTTTTCCATCAATATCTTATGAGTACAGAAGGAAGGGTTGATACCCTTAAGATCTGAAAAAGACTAGCCCATGGCTGTCTTGTTCTTTTTGAGCACCTCAATCAACTTCACTTCCTCGCTTTCAGACAACAATGCATTGATAATGGCTGGGTAAGTTTGATCATCTTCAAGGAACATATACTTAAGATTTGAAGGTAGTTCTTTCAGTTCCACCTTGGGTGCTCCCTTGGGAATGTCATCTACCTTCTTTTCCAACTCTTCGACTACTGGTTCCTCCTGATAAAATTCCACACTCATCTCTTCCTTGAATTTGTCCTCCTCAAGTGAAGAGTTTTCTTCTCCTGTCACTTCTTCCACAACTTCCTGTATGATATCAATTCTGAAACAATCCTCCACATCAACAGGATGTTTAATGGCTTCAAACACATCTATGGTAACTGTTTCTTCATTCGCCCTTAGCATCAACTTCCCTTGTTCAACATCAATCAGGGATCTTGTAGTTGCTAAGAATGGTCTCCCTAGGAGTAGAGGACTTTCAGTATCCTCCTCTTCCATATCAAGTATACCAAAATCCACAGGGAAAATGAACTTATCTACTTTGACCAAAACATCTTCTACCACCCCTTCAGGTCTCTTGATTGATCTATCTGCTAGATGCAGAATAACATTAGTACCTTTTAACTTGTTAATTCCCAAAGCTCTACAGACAGACAATGGCATCAAATTTATACTGCCCCCCAAATCACAAAGTGCTTTTCCTACTTCCACATCTCCAATGGCAATAGGGATGTTGAAAATTCCTGGGTCTTTCAACTTTGGAGGAAGCTTCTTCTGAATCAGGGCACTACACTCCTCCGTTAAAGCCACAGTCTCACCATCTTTCAACTTCCTTTTCTTAGACAGAAGAAAGATCCTTCATGAATTTTGCATAGTGAGGCATGTTCTCCAAGGCTTCAGCAAATTGAATGTTGATCTGTAATTTCTTGAAAATATCCAGAAACCTTGCATAATGCTGCTTCTGAATTTCTTGCTTCAACCTCTGAGGATAAGGGACTTTGGCATATGGAGATATATTAACTGGCTGGTCCTGCTTGTCATCCATCTTCTTCTTCTCCCACTTCATTAACTTCTTGGGTGAAGAATTATTTTCAACTATTACCTCATTTTCTTTCTTATCTTTCTCAACTTTTCCTTCTTCTTCTTCTTCGACAATAACTTCTTCCTCATCTTTCTTTTCTTCCACTTTCTTCTTAACCAGTTGAAGTACAAGTTCACTTCTTGTAATTATGGACTTGCAATGCTCCTTTGGATTCACCATGGTATCACCAGGGAACTTCCCTATGGCCTATTTGATATCTGTCTAGACAATTGACCAATTTGGGTCTCCAAATTCCGGATGGATGCTTCCTGGTTCCTGAATGATATTTTTGTCTCTTGCATGAAAGCAAAAGTTTCTTCTCTGAAATAATTTGACCCCTGAATATAATCTTGAGTAGTCTTTGATAACTGGGCAAAAGCTTTCTTCCATGCAGATGTATCACCTTGTTGTGGAGAATGTGGTGGAGGAGGATGTAGTGGAGGATTCAACTGATGATTGGAACTATAACTAAACCCTGGTTGTTGATTCTTGTTCTTCCATGGTGGAACATACAAATTTCGCCCCTGGTTGTTATGGTTCCTCTGATCATACCATACCTCATTTACTTCTGCTTGTTTAACTGATCCACCATAATCACAATCATCCATAACATGGCTTTTCCCACAAATTGCACACACAGAATTAGTGTCTACAGAAGCAACCTTCTGAGAAGATAGCTGCTTAGTGAGAGTATCCAACTGCTGTTGTTGTTTCTACATCTGCATCATCTGATCATTCTTGGCTAACAAAGCATCATAGCCATCAAGTTTTATAATTCCCGTTCTTCTGTCATTCACCGGAGCATTGTCAAACTCCTGAGATGCTAGGGACTCAAATATGTCAAGGGCTTCCTGAGGAGTTTTGGTTGTCAATGAACCACCAGCTGTGGCATTCACCAATGTCCTTGTGTTGGTTGTCAACCCTTGGAGAAATATTGCTGCTTGATTCCACACTTCTATACCATGTTGTGGATATTTCCTCAAAAGTGTCTTGAACCTCTCCCAAGCCTCATAGATAGACTCTGACTCTTTTTTCTTGAACCCTGTAATCCCATCCTTCAATTTTACCCTCTTGGATGCTGAAAAGAACCTGACCAAGAACTTGGTCTGCAGATAATCCCAAGTTGTGATACTTCCTTGTGGTAAAGATTGTAACCATCTCCTAGCATCATCCTTCAGTGAATGAGTGAACAACCTTAACAAGATAGCATCTCTGGTCACACCATTGATCTTCACCGTATCACTCAATAGTAAAAAAATTTCAATGTGCAGATATGGATCTTCTGCACTTGTACCAGCAAATTGTTCCTTCTGCACCAATTGTACTAGTGTAGGTTTCAACTCGAAATTATTAGGCTCCACAGTTGGTCGAACAACACTCCCAATCGGTGGAATGACTGTGGGAGTCATGTAATCTCCCAGTGTTCTCTGTGGTGGTGGCACATGATTTTCTGCCATGACTTCTTCCTGAATTGTCACACTGGCTTCACCCCTTTCTTGTAGCTTTCATTGTCTTGCTGCCTTCATGTTCTTCCTAATTGTCTTTTCTAATTCTGGATCAAACAACAAAGAGTTGGGATTAATAGTACCTCGCATACACCAGAATTGAAATTGAACAAAAATTCACACAAAATATAAATTGCTGAAAAATAAAAGACTCAATCTTAAATATTAATGGTGTCTGTCAATGTTGAAGAACAAATCCCCGGCAATGGCGCCAAAAACTTGTTGCAACTTTAGCAAGTGTACTATTCATACAAGTAATAAAATGATGAGTAAAGATTATTCCCACGAAGATTTGTGTTCAAACACCGACTAACCATATACACTTTTAAGTTGAATAAGAAAAAAATTTATTGATTGCATTGATTATTATCACCAGAAATTGAATTAAATTAAAACTTAGTGAAACAAATAAAATGTGAATTATAATTTTAAAAACAAGTAGTCAGACATCAATATCCCTCAGGCATTAACTTATGTATGAATCAATCCCATTATAAGTTATCTCCTATGTGATGTTAATCAACCTTTTTCTTATCATCAGAATGTAATCCCTTTCTATCCTGATTGATACATTAATCAAAAACCCCAATCCCATGGTGATTCCCTTCTTAATACATACATTAAACACTAAGATCTTAAGATCACATCAGAATCCTAGCATCAATCCCTTGAATACCAGAACACTGATGATTAAATTGTCAATTACAGAAACAATGTAAACATCCCTGTTCCACATTATTCCCTTGATGGAAAGAATTAATAAAGACAACTTCATATCATCACATAATAGGTAAAAAAAATATTCAATTAACCATTCATAAATTCACACTTGAGTTCCATTGAATCAGACTACAAAGACTCTACTCAGACATAATAAAAGAATAAACAAGAGAAGAGGAAAGCTCAAACTCCATTGTCATGATGGTTGAGTCTTCAATCTTCAATTACAATTACATACAATGTACTAACTAATAAACCAACAAAGTCTTAAAGAATTTGGAAAGTCAGAGGAAGTGAAGAGTCAGATCAGAGGATCTGAGATAGAATAGGAGAGAATCTGTCCAAATGTGAAGGCCCTTGCCTTTTATAGAGTTACAAAATACAACTGAATAACAACCAGAAACTGACATGGGCACCAAAACGTTCACTATTGGACGTTTTAGCGTTCATGTTTGACGAATGTCCAACTGCTTTTAACTGTCTTTAACGCTAAAACGTTTGACTGAGACGTTTTAGCGTTCTAGACCAGAGTATTTTCCAACAGCAGAGCGCTAGAACGTTTGATCAGGAAGTTTTAGCGCTCAAGACCAGAATCTTTTCCCACAGTAGAGCGCTAAAACCCTTGCATTGGACGTTTTAGCGCTCGGCACCAGCAATTTAAGGCCTCAATATGCAGCAGCGCGCTAAAACGTTCTGTTTGGACGTTTTAGCGCTTAACACTTAGCATTTCCTATTCTTCAGAATCTTCTTCCTTCTCTCATTTGCTTCTTTGAGCTTCATTTCCCTACAAGAACAATGTAAATTTTCAACAAAGCTTTCAGAACTTGTATTTGAGGGCTTTCCAGGATATTAACCTCTTTTCCATTCATTTAATCACACAAATTGATACTAATTCATGCTTAAAAATCTGATGAAACAAAGGGTTTATCACCGGGATAGAGGAAAAGAAAACAGCCAAGGAGATATGGGATCACCTCACAAAACTATACTCGTCCAAGTCACTTCACAACAAAATATTTCTGAAGAGGAAGCTTTACACGCTTCGGATGTCTGAATCCACTTCAATAACAGAGCACATCAATACTCTGACCTCTCTATGTTCTCAACTTACATCATTGGGACATAGTATTGAGGTATCTTAGCGTGCATAAATTCTACTCCAGAGTCTTTCAGATTCATATGACCAACTCATCATCAACATCACCAATAACACTGAATCCCTGGTGTTTGACAGTGTTGTTGCCGCAGTTCTTGAAGAAGAAAGACGGAGAATAAGAAAAGAAGAAAGGCTGGCAAGTTCGCATCAAGCGGAGGCCTTGACGATGACAAGAAGGCGGTCAATGGAACGTGGTTCCAGTGGGAGTCACGGACAAGGAAGGTCAAAATCTAGGGGTAAGAAATTTGTCATGTGTTACAACTGTGGCAAGAAAGGACACTATAAAAATGAGTGTCGACTAAGGAGTGGTGGAGACAAGACTTCAGAAGCATCAACTTCTCAAGGATGTGTTGCCGATGGAAATGTTCTATACAGTGAAGCAGCAATGGTGTCTAAGGATAGATTGGAGCTCGTTGATGCATGGATAATGGATTCAGGAGCAGCATGGCATATGACTTCTCGGAGAGATTGGTTTCATTCATATAAACCTATCTCTAGAGGGTTTGTGTACATGGGAAATGATCATACCTTAGAGATTGCTAGAGTTGGCACCATCAAGGTAAAGATGTATGATGGAACGATTCGCACAATCCAAAATGTGCGGCATGTGAAGGGCTTGAAGAAAAACTTATTGTCTTTAGGGAAATTTGATGAAAATGATTGTAAAACCCGTATTCAAAACAAAGTGATGAAGATCATCAAAGGAGCGCTTGTGGTGATGAAGCCTGAGAGGGTTGCAGCAAACTTGTATGGGCTTATGGGAGAGACGCATCTAGAGGCAGAAGCATCTGTTGCATCAACCAATTCTGAGGTAGATATAACAAAGATGTGGCATCGCAAATTGGGCCACATATCAGAACAAGGTTTGAAAATTCTAGCTGAACAGAAACTACTCCCTGGTCTCACAAAGGTAACTTTACCATTTTGTGAGCATTGTGTTACAAGTAAGCAACATAGATTGAAGTTCACTGCATCTAATTCTAGAAGTAAAAATATTCTGGAATTAATTCACTCTGATGTATGGCAAGCACCAGTTATGTCCCTGGGAGGAGCAAAGTACTTTGTATCCTTTATTGATGATTATTCCAGGAGATGTTGGGTGTACCCAATCAAGAGGAAGGCAGATGTATTTTCAGTCTTCAAGAAATTCAAAGCGTAGATAGAAGTGGAGACGGAGAAGAAGGTCAAGTGTCTCAGGACAGACAATGGTGGAGAATATACAGGTGATGAATTTAATGCCTTCTGTAATCAAGAAGGCATCAGAAGGCAATTCACGGTGGTATACACTCCACAGCAGAATGGAGTGGCAGAGCGGATGAACAAAACTCTACTCGAAAGAACTAGAGCTATGTTGAGGACTGCAAGTATGGCGAAGTCATTTTGGGCTGAAGTAGTCAACACTGCCTGTTATGTGATTAATCGCTCACCATCAACGGCGATTGATCTGAAGACACCGATGGAGATGTGGACTAGTTAGCCAGTTGATTATTCACACCTGCACACATTTGGGAGTCATGTGTTCGTGATGTACAACACCCAAGAAGTCACAAAGCTGGATCCAAAATCCAGAAAGTGCAGATTCTTAGGGTATGCTGATGGAGTTA